GCCTCCGGTGGCAGCAGCGGCTCGGCGCGCGGCAGCGGGGCGCCCGCCACGAGCACGCCGCACAAATGCCCGAAGTCCTCGGCCAAGACCACGGTGACCAGCTGACTTTCACCTCGCAACGGTGGACGGACGGTTGGAGCCTCGTCTCGTCCAGTCGAGGGTGGCAAGCGCTGCGGTTCGGGCTTGCGCTGCCGGCGGAAAGATGACCGGGAATGGAGAGGAGTTTTGGGGTCCGGTAGAGGATGGCAGGAAGTGGAGGGATTCGGGGAAGATCCAGGGGGGATTGAATCAGGCGACGGGTTGAATCCTGCGAATAGGCGAAAGAAAGGAGGGAACGGGGGGTGGAAGTGGGAGTTTGAGATCATTCAGCTGGATGTGGGAAACAAAAACCACTGGTCGGTGTAAGAACCACTTGCTTGGTGAGTAGATGTGTGTTTCCGAAGTGTCCCCTTCCAATTTCTTGGGTGGCCACCCCAACTTAAACACTATTGCAAACACCACACGTTGCAAGTCGTGTCAAAGCAAGTGTGACGCAAGTGTGACACTGGCTCGACTGAAGGCAAACGTACCAGAAAACACTAGGAACATCATGGAACATCTACCTGGAACCTGATTGACCCCTGTTTTGGAGCCAAAACATTGCCGGAATTCCTATACAAAACAAAGGTCCAATGGGTTCTACGAGTATAGGAACTATATCCCTAGGGCTCCTGCCCCATATCCTCATGTGACCAGTGGCATTCGACCCCCCAGTCGACCACCCACCCAGTCCATGCCAGTCCCACCTTCACCTCAGGAAAACCCGGCCAGGAGCCCAAAGGGGCATATAGAGACCCACCCAAGTCCCGCCCAAATCACTACAACTGCTGGCCCCCCCTGGTGCAACTTCGAGTCCCCACAGGTCGATCTCGGATGATCTCGGATAATCTCGACCCCGACGCCGTCCGACGTCTGAAGGCCACCTCTCGAAGACGTCTTAGGGGGTGCCAGTGCCTTCTCTGAATCCCTCAGGTTCACTGAAAAAGAACATGTGAACCGTACTATCCATGGCTTCATCTAGATGTGGGGTGTCCCCAATCCCGAATCCCCCAAAGAGCAGGTGATCCACTGATCGCATGGGTACGGACTCCTGGCCCGCCCCACTCCTCAAGCCGGCACTTACCCTAACCACCTTCACGGAAGGGGGGCGGCCATAACCGGAGCCCGTGCGTTTCGCGGGGTCCGTTTCAGGGATCTGCGGTGAGCCACGGGTCTGAGCTACCTCCGCCAACTTGCTGCCTCAGACGTCGCCGACGTCGCGGGTCGGACAGGCTCGGACTTTGGTCGATGTGAAACGGATCGGACCGGAGGTGAGAGAAGAGGACCATACTGAAAATGCCGACCGTTTGTGGAGGTGTGGTGTGAGAGTCTTGGTGTGAGAGTCTTGGGGCAGGTGATATATTCAGCGAAAAGCATGATCAAGATTAAGCAAAGCTTGTTTGAGGATGTGTGGTGCAAAGCCGGTTCCTTTGTGAAGGACTGCAATCTGTAGTTTGATATACAGTAGGCTAGATATACATTTACGATCAAGGTAACAACTGCAAAAACTTTGTCATTGATCACAATCTGAGATTCTGGAATTGTGATTCCTTCAAAAAAACGTTCCATTCACAGTAGATGTGGCGAAACGACTGGAGATGTGCAACCGCATCCATAGACTCAAAGACCTGAACAACACGCAAAAAAGCACACACACATACATCAAAAGCAGCTTGCTAACTCCCATGGAGTTGCGCCACGTTTTCTCGTCGAGTCCATTCCTTCTTGAAATCTGGTCTTCTTGAATCGCAGTAAACTTGGCCCAGCATGATTCATCCTAAACACTCTACTGTAATTATCCATGGAACATTATTGGGTCTGTCCTCTTATCTGCAGTCGGCAACACCGGTCTACAACAGCTCTGTCGTGTGCAAGTGGCGGATGTATCCCGTGGCGGCCACCTGGCAAAGGTTCTCCCGGTCCGTGACCTCAGGCTGGAAAGCTAAACATCCCTAGGGCTCCTACCATATCCTCAGGTTCGGAGTTTAGACCCTCCAAACCCACCCCAACCATCTTCTCAGGAGGTGGGCCAGGAGCCCTAGGGCGTATTCATCAACCTGATCCACTGATTCAAACAGTCTCCCAAAAAGAATCAAAAACTCCATCAGCGGACTCACCAAACCTTCGCTTCGCCAGCCCCACCAAACTCCAAGCGCGCATGAGCTCCAAATGAAGGATGTCAGGGATGAGCGAGGGGTCAGTTCAGTACCACACACCTACATTGGTTGTGCACTTGGGGGTGTTCCATCTACTAATCAACAGTCAAAGGCCATCGATGCTCTGCCAAGCGACCAGCAAGGGAGGCCAACGGCCCCCATGACCACCAGAGAGGCTGGCTTCCAACATGATTCCAGCATCCAACCAGAAGACCTCCCGCTCCGCCATGGTATAAGGTGCTGGAACCTGGCCAGGGGTACAAGTAGGAGGGTCAAATTTTGTGAGTCAAAAAAATCAAGAGGATCAAACAGTTTGAGATGTTTGGATGGGATCTGGGATCATTTTGGGAGCTTTAAGGGTGGTCTCATGTTCCACCGGCTTTGGATGATTTGGGATGGCTGTGAACATCTTGAGGGTGGAATTTAGCTCGGAGTTACCATCGTTCACTTCATGACCGAGAGGTGAAAATGCATAAGGTATACAGTAACTGAAGGGTCTAACGACTTGCCCTAGGCTTTCTGCCTTCCTGGTCAGCCATTGATTTAATGGTCTGACTCCCGAAGAATCTACATGTTTTGCTAAGGAGTTGACACTACAACAGGTCAACGATGGTCACCCGAACTCCTGTACAGGTCAGCCGAAGGCTAGGGCATGGTGGTAAGATCATGATGTAACTTCTTGAAGGGTCATATGATAATATCATGTCAGGTTGTAACTGATTGAAGAGTCATTAAACTAATACATAGTTTGATCGACATCATGCTAGTGCTAACTTAATTCCGGGATGAAGCTCGTAGATCCCTGAAGAGTTATGTTATGCGGAGTTTGGCGACACCCAAGGCGAGGACACTTGCGCTGCTGATCTGCATTGCACAGTAGGCGTCAAATGTTTTCAATAGCATTAAACCCTAGAAGGATCTAGAAGGTGTGACTTCGATCAATACCCTGAATCCACTCAATCTGGGGTGGGCAACATCTGCACATTGAAACAAAACTAAGTACAGAAGAATCGAACTGTAAAGGCGAAGCTCCAAAATCTGTTGACTACTCGGGATATCTTGCATGAGGGATGACCCAGGTGTCGGCACAATGCGAAAGAGAGAGAGAGAGAGAAGTCTGTTTGTTGATCTCTCAACTTCCTCTTGAGGTTGCAAGCACGGAATGGCAGGAACACTTCAATATACTTCAATCAAAGAGCGGGCGGCTTGCAATACACTCCCACAACAACCACAACGACCACCAGCACCACATCAACAACAAGAACCACCCTCCTAAAACCATCTGAAAAATCTGTACCAAGGCTCATTTCGCCACGGATTTCGCCACGGTCAAAAAGAAACATCAACCAACGACCTGAACGGTATGCCAGCTGAACAACCGGGCCTTCGGCAAGCTGGACTGCAACATGGGCTGCCATGTCTTCCAACCTTCGCCTTTAGGGACCTGCGCTTTTCGACTCGGCCGTTGACTGGACTTGCAGCAGGTGAACACGTCGCTCTTCTCCTGCTCACCCTGGCAGTAGACCTTAAAAACCGATGGAAACGACGTCTGCAAACTCCTTGGGGGGTCGAGGAAAACAAAGGATCTCAAAGGATGTTGGGTGTTTTTGGGGATGTTGTTTTGTTGAGTGCCTTGTTCGATGCATGCCGAATTCTTCCGGTGTCAGTGCGTATGACTCACTACGCACCAAAAGGAGATTGAGAAGAACTCCAACAGCAACAGCCCACGACCATGTCCAGTCGTCCATTCGCTTCATGTTTGGTGGTCCACCCAGGTCGCCCTGGTGCCATGAACCATCTCCATATCCTAATTGGGGGGGTGGAAGCATCGTCTTAGTGGGAAGCCCATCTCTCTCTCTCTCTCTCTCGGCAGCGTCTGGCTACAGCCGTCCCACAGGGACACGCTTTTAGGAAGGACGATGCATTGCTGGACGCGCAGTTGGGCAGGGCGCAGGCTTCCCATCTCTCTTTTGGACCCCCCCCATGGCCAAACAACGTCCAAGGGATCGAGCTACCACTCTTGCCTATAGCTGTTTCCAAGGACATCCAAGCCATATATATATATATAGTGACTATTGGACCTATACGACCTATAGAATACCTGGTTCCTTGTATAGTGGTAACTGGGATCCCTGGCGCATCTTTGCAACCAAAGGACCCAAACGACCTGTTCATCATCTTGACTTTGCAGTCCGCCCTCCTCCGGAATTGACAAGAACCTCTGCAATGCGTTTGCGTTGGTGGGGCTTGTCATGAGAGGTCACCAATGCCTTCGGCACTGATCCTCCATTGCGGTGACACCAAAACGATCGCTCAGGACGTCTCGACCACTTCGATCGCGACGTCTCTTGAGAAAACGGCTACGCGGCCGAGAGTAAGAGACAGACACACCAAGACTAAGAAGTCACATAGCCACATGAGGTCACTCACTAACATGCTACAAAGCCATGAGGTACCATACAAAGGCCAGGAACATGCCGGCCCTTTGTGGGCCTCAAGAAGGATAATTAGTCGTATAGTCCCCTTTTACAAACCGTTTCTGTCACGTCCAGGGAGGCATGAGCTGGAGTTTGGATTTCAAGGGCAATCCACCTTCATCACCTTTCCATCGCATCTCTTACTGTAGGGGCCCCAGGTGAGGTTGTTCAAAACAAACAGTCTTGGAGAGATCATGGTGTGCAGTTGGATCACGACTCTCAAATCGAAAGTAAAAATGACATCAACACGACATGAATCCGATCATCCTCCAGTAACGACATCGGGCGCCTTGCATGGCATCCTGCAACTCCTTCTGCTCCATAGCCTCCTGGTGCCGCAAGAAGCTGCGGTAAAGAACCACCTCTCGCCGTGGCCACGCGCGTGCCGCACGCAACACGCAACTGCCGCACGCGCGCAGGTCGGCCGTGCAGGTGACTTGACAGGCCAGGTCTCCATGAACCTCGAGCGACTTCCAAATAGAATATTAATAAAATATATATTATAAAAAGATTATACAGCCCAGACGCTCATGGGCCTTCATATGGAGGGGTCGGACCCTCATATGGAGGGGTCTGGGGTCTCAAATCCCTAGGGTTTTGAGGTACCAAGAGCTGTTTGGAGCGTCTGGGGCACTGCTGAAAACTAAGATGAACCCTGACTGTCTGCCCCCGAAGATCTGGAAGATGGTTTTCCTCCAAACCCAGTGGTTTACACTCCTGGTTCTTCAAAGTGACCTTTTGATATCCCAGTTTGAGGTCACAAGTTTGGGCCTGGTAGTTCCTTCACAATCAGGCACTCCAAAGAGGTCACGAACTGAAGAAGCTGGGCTGCTGAAAACGAAGATGGACCCTGACTGTCTGCCCCCCTGGAAGATGGTTTTCCTCTACCAACCAGTGGTTTTCAATGGTTTTCAGGCTCCATGGCGCCTTCGAAATGCCTTTCTCGATCTGGACTTGAGGCCGGGGTGGGCCACCGTATGGCACGTCTGGAGCACCCGCGCCTTGGACCGTGGATCCAAGGACTGCTCGGAGCTGAGGTCTTTCCGATGGTAGAAGCGCAGCCTCGGGCGGTAGCCGCCCGCGGCTGCAGGCACAGCGGTAAAAGCGTCCTGCTGAAAGATAGAAGACTTGGTTGCGACATGTTGCGAATTCAGAAAGGGATTGAATACGTACCCTGGAGAATTGCAGGTGAGAGAGAGAGTGAGAGATAGGAATTTTAACTTATTTATATTCCGATTTGACCAATCAATTCCAAAAGTATCGGGGAAAACTATCTCGCTTTTCATCTGACTCTCCCTCGCCAACTTCACCTTGCTTCACGCGCCAAAATTGTACATGGATGTGTACATGTTCATAGGGAGACCCCTCAACCACTGGGTTTTGGTTTATTTCCCTTCTTCCAGCGGTCGAACTGGCAGGTCTCCCTAATACAATACACACCCAAACACCCAAGCCCGTCTCCGCCGGACGCCTTTTTGATCTTCCCTCGCATCCCTCGCCATTTTGCTGCCCAGTGAACATATCTTGCAAGAACTCCACCACCACAGGCCAGCCCACCGGGACGCGGTTGAAACATGCCGCTAACGCCTTGTCGGGACAGGGGTCGTCGAAGATCCCTACAGGTCGAGTTTGGTCAAGGGGAACTGCGCAGCTAAAGGTCGCAGTATGCCAAAAGCATGGTGAGGCGACACATGCCCCTAAAACTGTGGCAATGTCCTGAGGTAGACAATGTCATAAGATATGTCGTTCAACGGTGCCATATATGGATCGATCCATCAATCACCTGGCGAAGTCATTGTTGGCTGTTGGCGCAGCAAACATGTTGATGTGGTGATGGGTGGTAGTGGTGGACGCAGTTCTGCTGCCGGACTTGAATAACCCAAAAAATCCTCTCCCAAACGGACTAGTATAGGATCTTGATTGATAAACCCCCCATATGAAGAGGTTTTAGGGGTTACAGTATATATTCATCAAGATCTTACAATTACAAAATATAATAGACGCATACTTGGACAAAAGTTGTCCTCTTCCAAAGCGTCTTGTGGATATCTTGGCTTGGAGGTTCTCCCGAAGTCGGGATTTGACCTCCAAAATTTGTCAGGTGTGAAAGGAATCGAAACGATTCGAAACGTACAGTCCAATGTGTTCATCTACAGGGATTCTGCTTGCAGGTTTGGGTCCGGTGCTTTTACACGTCTTTGGAGCCCTGTGATGCACGTTTTCTCTATGGGTACCTGCAAGTAAGTTTCCAGAAAATGCCCCTCCACCCATCACACTTGCCTGCACATCGCGGGTTTGCAGCAAGCCCAGGTCTTGTTGTCGGAGTTGCTCCCTCACTTGGTCCAAGGGCGCGGACGGAGCAAGCATGAAGTCCATGGATGGACAGCTGTGAGCTCTTAGTTCATTCAAAATCTCCAATCCCAAATGAATGGTCCTATATAGTTTTAACCGGGCGAAGCTGCGGGGTTCATCAAGCCTGTCCATTGCTTTTTGTGCAACATCTGCAATCCACGATCCACAGCAAAATGCAAGCTGGTGGGTAGCAGGGTATTGGCCCTGGCACACCTTGTTAAGGCGGGCGACCTGACCCCACCCCAGTGACAAAAGCTGGCAACAAGGCCTAAGGTGGTCTCACGAATTCTCGTAGATGGTGCACTTTCAGGTGGTTTAAGTGCAAAAGGGAGGAACAGTACACTACAGTATGTATTCACTATACTTGCACATGAACCTTACACAACCTATGCTGTCCACAACAAGGACAAGGTCTGACGTACGTACGGCTGGTTTGTTTATCCCTTCTCAAGCGACCAAAAACCTGTGATTTGAAACTATCAAGAAAATGCAGCCTTCAAAAAGTCACCAGTACAAACACCCCAAATTCTATCCAATTCCCTCTGAATTCGGGGCATCTTCACCACTAGTCACATCACCGCAGGGCACGTTGGATGTAAATTCAAAGAAAACACATGGGAAAACAGCCCCAAAAAAAAACACGCGACGTCCACACACCAATTCAGAAATCACACAACCCATCAATATCCATTTTGGATCATGTTTTCTCCAGTTTCCGGTTCATAAACCCTAGGGCCCTAGGGCTCCCGTCACATCCCATCTCTCCTCAGGTGACCGGTCTTCGACCCTGCAAGGATCATCCACCCCTGGCCCAATCGAAGCTCAGCTGGGCCAGCCCAAGGTAAGGGTCTCTTCGCCGCGCTGATCGGCTGAGTTCCCTTCCATCCACCTGAGGTCTCCGGTCGGGTCGTGTATCCTCTCCCGGGCGCAAGACCCGCTGGAGGGTGGGCAGGATCGACTCCTCCATGTTGGGCGCCGCCAGAATCCGGCCGAGGCCGTTGGAGACTTGTGCCAGGTGGGTTGGCCTGGCGCGACGACTGGGCGATAAATCCCGTTCGACCGGGGGGACTGGCCCAAAGAAGGGAGGGAAATATTCTGAGCTACAACTACAACTAGCTCAACAGGCATTCATAAGCCGTGTGAACATTTGAACATGTTTGGAACTTTCAGAGGGGGATGGATGGTCATCAAGTTTTGTTCTTCTCAGCTTCTGATTGGCATTGCTGCTGTGCATCAGGTCATTTATGTAGCATGTCCCCCAACTTCCGAAGATTTCCGAAGCAAGGACGCTGCGCTGGCGTATTTTTGGGCGTGCCTGCTTTGCAGTGCGTCAGTCGAAGTGAAACCAGAAGAAGGTGCATATCTTGGCTCTGGGATACGACAAGGCACTGGTATCCACGCAGAAAATTCTTTGGGTTGCATCACAACTCAGCGAAAAAACCGCCATAGGGATTTCGCTGGAAGAACCTTCTCATGAGTCCCGGCTTGGCGATGTCATTCTCCCAGCGTGGACCTCGACCTCTAGCCTCCTCTTCTTGCACAAACTTGGCCATCGCCTCATCTGCTGGGAGCTTTTCTGGCTGAATGCCACCTTCATAGTACCAAGTGCCCCGCCGCAGAACCCACTTGGGCTCCTCCGGTCCCTTGGGCTGCGTGGCCGCATAGGCCTTCTCGCGCCTCAAACGTTCCCGTGCCCAGTGCTTGTCGCGGAGCATTCCGAGATTCTGATCCGCCTGCTCTGCGAGCAGCTCGTCGGAAGCTTCCAGCACGTTGCGGATGCGTGGAAGGGCTGCATGCTGGAGGCTTCCGGAACTCGACTGAGCGTACAGCGAGTTCAGAGCCACCTCGTTGGTGGGTTCAACTCACGAACAAAAACAAATGAGTCGGTGGCACACCTAAAAAATACCAAAAAGAACATGTCGAATATTGTTGAATAATACATTGAAATACCCTAATTAGGCAATAATTTCGCCCAACTTCATTTAGGCAGAACATTTATGTCCGTTTTCACGAAGAACGCCTAAGCTGCAGCCTCCAGGGTGAAAAATGTTGAGGCACAATCGACATGAATTCTTACATGCAGGATGCAAAACCATAATCTGAATGGAAAAGCTTTTGAGAAAGCAACCTGACGCTAGTGCCCGGTCTAAAGTAAAGAAATTGAAACTCATGCCACTTGCTCTTCCCCCAAAGAGCTACCATTCGTTTGTTCACCCGACCACTGATTGTTGTGAGGGGGGAACGGGTAAGAACGCCAAAGTGGGCAAGAACGCCTAAGTAAAGGGTAAGAACGCCTAAGTGACGGGAAGAATGCCTGTGCAAAAACATATACTAAAGCAATGACAGCCCTAGACTTCCAACCACCATTATATTAATAGGCTTTACTGAACCAACTAAGGATTTTACACCTTAAAGCCAGGTCAACAGTCTATTAAATTGTTTCGGAAGTCTAGGGAAAGCATAGACAAACTAAACGCATGCAGAAGTGAAACATCAAGTGAATTCATTCCATGTCCTGTATCTCTATAGTTCCTGGAGCCAGTGGTAGGTATATGACCAAAAGAACAAGAACGCCTAGCGGAGCCAAGAACGCCTACAGGGGGCGAGAACGCCTAAGTACCCATCATATTCAGAAATTTATGCCCAAGAAGGTTCTGGACATGATGACATCCTCTGAAACCAAATGCCGGTGCCCAACCGAGCCACGATCTCCCCCGCCCTCCGGCGTAGGTCCAGCTTTCGTGCAGCTCGATCTTCGGACACTCGCGTCTCGGAGGCTGAGCGCGACAGCGACGACCGCGGCATCTGGTCGGAACGCGCGGACCGCGAAGCGCGGCCGCGAGAGGTCCGCACGTCCGCTGTGGAGTTGGAAGGATGAAGTACTCTACTACTACACTCTACCGCCCTTGAGCCAGTAGAGAGCTGAAAGCATGCGAGTGGATGTGCAACACAGATCATGCGGTCTGCGATGGAGCAAGCCACTGCATCACATCTGCAGCTTGACCCTTTTGAACACCAAGCCAAAACGCCCTAGTCTCCGCGAGTCTTGTCTGCCAAACCGCCCAAATGTTGGCCAAAACCGCTCAGTCAGAGCGCTGTGCTAAACCCTAAGACGACCACCCAATGCACAACCAAGGCCAACTCAGCGTGCCTCATGTCTGAGGTGCGCAAGGCCAAGTCTCCTCTTCACGCGCCCGTGACGTATCGACGAAAAGCCACCGGGGGGCTGATAGGTGCGGTGATCCATCGATTCGGGTGGGTGTGTGGTTTCAGCAGTAGACTAAGGGGGTCTAAGGTCGACCAAGATGTGTAAACGTAGCACTGCCAGGAAATGAAAGCACATAAATGCACAGCGTTTGATACCAATGGAGGTTAACCGCCTTCTTTTCAAGTACACAAGGTCGGGATTTGGAGCACAACAATATCAACAATGAGCCAGGGTGCAGTTACAGTTTACCAATGCAGGTGCTCTGGGCCTCTCTTGCTGGGTAGACTTCAGCGATTTCAGTATCTCCTTTTTCTCAATAATACAGCCCATGAACGCGGAGGCTGTGTAATATGCTAGTATCTGCAAGCACACAACCAGGCACAATAAAACAACAAGGAATAGTAATACCCTAGTGGTTCCAGCTGATTTGGGGACCATTGCATCAAATCATTCATAAGGCACGCACACACACACCAAGTGCATTCACGCTGCCCACTACAGGTATCATCTCGTGCTCATAGACTCGTGCAGCTGAGAACATCCAAGCCAGTTTGGACACCTGCCGGCAGGGAATGACACAACAGGATGACGACGCCTCGCGTTTTCTCCCAAATGCTGTTCAGTCGAGGGAGTCCCACATCAGTTTCAGTCGAAGAACGGAGAAAGCAAACATCGCGAGCCAGCGGCCCCGGCGGCTGCCTTCAAAGTACTTGTCCAACGAGGGCATCAAGCATGTTTGGGAGCTTAATCTTCTTTCCCGCAGACTCAAGCATTAGTTCCAAGGCAAAGGGATGGTGCAGTGACTCAAGGATGGTGAACAAAAACAGATTCCGAAGGGTCTGACACCACTACCTCTCTTTACTGGCAGGGATTCCGACCCAGCCAGCCACCTGGCCGCACCTCATTTGGCATCAGAGTGCCATCAAGGCGCAAAGCTTCTTGCAGAGGAGCTAGAAGTTTCAGGAAAACGTCCTGTGCCAGGTGTTTCTTGGGACCCCCAACCACAGCTAGCTTCACTACTGGAGGATAAATAAAAGGACCGGATAACCCCACATGATAAGTTTTACAAATTTCAAATGTATATGAACATCACTTGGGAGACGGAGTAGTGAAATGAAAAGTCAAGAAGGAAGTGTGAGGAGAGAAGGCATATGAGGCGGTATAAGTGCAGTATAAGTGATGATGTGATGGACGAGGATGAGAAGGAGGGGAGGGAGGAGGTGTGTGTGTGTGGTGAGATGGCGTGCGTGTGTGTGTGTGGGTGAGGCTGTGGATTTTGCCATCAGATCCGCATGCGACCTTCAAAACGTAACACACTCGAAACGACCATCAAAGCTATCAAGTGGTCTCATCCCGACCACGGCGGGCAGTGTTAGCAGGATGTAAAGCAAGAAGAGGTGAGACACGCTTGTTTTCTCTCACGCAGAGATGTAGAGTGAGCTCCAGGCAGGACCTGAGCTCCGGTCAACTCGCACGAACAGTGAGTATATATTTGCAACACTGAAGGCGGAGGCTAGCACAAAACATCAGAAGTGTCGATGTCAGAAACGAACTTGGTCAGTGTCAATTCTTTTGAGAAACGAACTCCGTCAGTCGCTATGCAACGCAAGGCAGCGTTGTTTTCGACTCTTTTCGCAGCAGTGTATCGTCACAGTCTGTCCAGCTCGTCACGTCGACTCGCCGGCATGCTAGCTCACAGTTCTTGAAGTGCAGCAAAAATGCGAGGTCTTACAAAGGAATTTAGGTTCTTCTCCCAAGTACGCAATGCCCAGAAGACATGCGGCCGATGCTTCCAGGGGTGAAGCGTGGGACGGGCCGTCAACAAGCTCTGCACAGCCGCTTCCGCGGAGAGCTGACGACGAAAGATCAACCACGCGCACAATGCCGCTGAGCTGCGGTTGACCCCGCCGAAGCAATGAAAGAGGATGCCTCGTTCTTCTCGCTGAGTCGTTGCCTTCAAGTGCTTCAGAAGAGCGCAGCACATGTCCATCCACGATGACAACCAGGCATTTCCCACTTCTTGACAAAAAGTATTGGTGTCATCCAAGTATGTTCTGGGATCGTCCACGTCGAACGTAAACCACCGAATCTGGAGACCTTCAAACCACGCTTTCCAGCCCACCTCTGGCTGCCCACGAATACGTTTCATCTCCCGCGGACAAAAGCTCAAGACAACCGACACCTTGCGATAGGAAAGTGGGACAGTTTCCTGGTGAGTCCGGAGATGGCGACAGGCAGCCAAGCTCCCGAGAAAGTAGATCTCAGGCGGTTCCAAAGACATCATCTCCCCAGGAAGTATTTCACAGATGTCATTTGGCCAATCTGAAATATCACCGAAGTGATACTGGTGCGCTGCCAAAAGCCGGTCGAGTGTTGGCTGATCCTCGATCGGCATGTCCAAACTGCTCTCAATCATCCGTTGCAAAGCAGCGCAGGCAGCAGACATCGCATCGTCGTATGGCTCCATGTTGCACGGGTTACGTGTTTCGAGCCTGGATATCTCACGGATGGTCCGCTCAAATGCTCTCTGATGTTCTCTGACATACAGCTGCAGGCTCACAAGTTCATAGACCAACTTACTTGATGTTGGTCTCTATCGCTAGGGCGCGGTCATCATGTCGCTCAAAAGCGGAGGTCACTGAATTGCACCCCCCATTATTCATTTCTATTCTCTGCCGGCTGAGTGATCTCAGCCCGTGTTAGGCTTGCAATCGAGACATAAGCGCCCTATATTATTTGAGGATTTTATGATGGGGCCATTCATAAACGCCCTCGCCGCAGCATTTACACTGCGCTTAGCATACAGTGAGAACCATTGCTTTGCAAAACACAATGGCAGGAGCGCAGAGACAGGCTTCTCAAACATCCTCCCCGCAGCACTTACACTGCGACTTGCAGGGGCCCCCAGCGGCGACAACGCGCGCCGCAACCAGGAGCGCCGAGACAGGCTTCTCAAACACCCTCCCCGCAGTACTTACAATGCGATTCGCAGGGGCCCCCAGCGGCG